TAGGGTTGATACAACAGGATTCCTACATTCCGTACAACAACGTCGATTATAGAGCTTGCAGGTACCATAATAAGCACCTTCCCTTAAAAGTAAGCCTCGTTGTATTTCATGGGATTTCTTCTCCAGTTGGGCCTGGAAGCGTCACTGCCTGGAAGTTGCAACCCAAGGACGTTCAAGTGATAATGATAATAAATCTGTTAGTCGTAAATGTGCTAGGAGACTTCCCTGTTATGCCAACCCGTGGGAGAACCTGGCAAAAGCCATTGGTTTGGTCAGGTTTTCTAAAGGGAAAACGCCAATCTCTCTCTCTCTCTCTCTCTCTCTCTCTCTCTATCTCTCTCTTTCTTTTTAAAGCAATAACTTTAGTTTCAGTCAATGGGTCTTCCTTTCGAGCGGCGGGCACCAGATAGGGTTGACCCGAGAGTCAGAAATAGCCCGGCGGTTTTAAAGCAATAACTTTAGTTTCAGTCAATGGGTCTTCCTTTCGAGCGGCGGGCACCAGATAGGGTTGACCCGAGAGTCAGAAATAGCCCGGCGGCCGCCTCAAGCAACAACATCTCGGGGTCCCATAAAAAGAAGATAGATTTTTTTTAAAAAAAATCATTTATTTTGGTGCCGCGATATTCTCTCCCCCTTGTATGTTTACAACTCTAAATAGCCCTAGTGGGACGTTCTGTGACTTTCGCAGACCTCACTAGGCCAACTTCGGGGACTTTACGCGCCTTGCCTTCGGTGGGTCGGGGGGGGCACCCGCTGCTGTTCTGCCTCAGGCGGCAGCCTGCCATAGGCCGGCCCTCATGCACCCCACCGTTAAAGCGCTTTCCAATGCCCAGTAGCACAGGTCTGAGCCAGCGCTGGCGTCTCCTGCCGAAATTCGAACGGGCTTCGTATCTGAGAAGGCTTCGCCTTGGGTATCGCTTGTCTAAAGCGTAAAAGGAGGGCAAGTGGAGGGTGGATGGAGGGGGGGGTAAGGTAAATCGTAGAGTTGGTGCTGTGGATAACTGGAGAAGCGAAAGGAGACCCTGTTCTATCGATAAAGGTATAAAGGTTTTTGAAGGGTCATCAGTATTAGGAGTGGGTCCCCCTACCCCATACCTTCTTTTAAACTCAGTTTCTCAGTGAAAATTCGAAAGAGAACGCTTAGGACCCGGACTGTGAATGCGCGATATCATGGCTGAAACCCACGGGTCCGGTGAATCAGTGGAACTTACCTAGTCCCCATTCATTTAATAGGCCTCGTCCAGAGGCGACTTATAACAGGATTTCGGCTATGATCAGGACGGATGCCAAAAAACAAACAAACAAAAAAAAAAGACGATCCCTGTCGCCCTGTAAGGTAATCACTTCACGTGTAGCTGACAAGGTTGGAAAGGTTTATCATAAAAAAAATTCCTCCTTCTAAACAGATATATTTGAATACCGAGATGGAGAGGGGCAGAGAGTGAACCTTATAGCATCGTATTTAAAAAATCTTCGGAGTTTTGTCCTATGGGTTTTGTCCTATTCCCGCCCCCGCCGCCCCCCCCAAGAAAAACGCGCAAGGATTTTAAGATCTTCCGCTCTTACTTTATTTTGCGTGAACGTCGCTTCGGTTGTTACCGCGTAGCTAGTAAGAGAGGGTTAGCTAGTAGGAGAGGGTGTGGTCTTTTTTTCCACCCCCAATGAGGAAGGTGAGGACCTCGGCTGCGATCCTTAAGCGGCTTTATCCGGAGTCGTAAAATCGACTGCGGCTTTTTCTTTCTTCTTCTGTGGTTAAAACACAAAATACGGGGGAAATGATGCACGAGGGGTTTCACACATCTCTGGAGAATTGTTCCCTATCCCAGATATGCTTTCTCTACATTCCAGGGCTTCATTTACGGCAGGGAGTGGGGCGATACTTTGCCGGGGGGCGGGCTGCGAGAATGTAAGGACAAATTTAGAATTTTAGAAGAGTGTTATCAGGCCAGAATAAAAGAATTTTTTTAAAAAATAAAAAAGTTGTGGCAGGTTAGAGCCTAACGGTAATATTTTAATGTGAGCTTTTTCTTGGCGAAATCCACTTTCTCCGACGTAAGAGGAGTCGATCCACCAGACTTCCCACGACTCACGCCTCTGTCGGCGATCACACCTGTAACGGCACCGTTAGAAGCGCCTTTTGCCGAGGCAGCGCGTAAATTAGATTCCTTCCGTGGCTGAGATTTCACTAGCCATAAACTCTACTAAGTTGAGACGGTTGTGTGTATATTTCTACATTAGCCTCCCGTGCTTTATATAGTTAGAGTTAGGAAAATCGTATCGAAATTAGCGACAACCCCTAAATAAACGTTTTTGTACCGACAATTCATATCATTCTTGGGTTCATCTCCAGGAGGGCACTAAACTGGGGCACGATCCGGTCCAAATGATACCAGTTTAACCTTTCTATCCTAGATATATTAACTCGGAACTAAAGAGGTAGGAGCCAAAGTGGTGTAACAGAGAAAGTGAGGGCACGGGAGACCTGGGTTCGCTTCCCCGCTCCGCCCGGGAAATTCACGCGGGGTGTGTGGGAAACCGATCAAACCACTCCTGAAATGCCCCTCTCATACTTCGGAAACCCTATTAGGGTCGCCAGACGTCCGACGCTACTTGACGGCAGATCACCTGCAAAAGTTCAGTTGCACGGAATGGCCTCTATCTCCGAGTAAAACCCCCAAGAGGTTCAGACTGCAGCTTCTCATAGATTTCAGCAGAATATATATTTTTATGGATGAAACGCTCCCTTTTTTAAAAATCATGGAACGTAACCTGGCTGCGTTACTCTGAAAGCAGCGTCGCAAAGGGACGCTGAGGGCTTCATTTACACTTTGAAGAAGTAAACTCGTGTCGGTGTGTGTCATTTATGGTTCGGGCGACATGACTTCACCTGGCCTTTTTAGAGTAACATACCTAAAAAGTCAGGTGTCTCCCGTGAACCCCGGACAGTAAATTTACTGTACTTGTGGAGAAAGGAACATTTTTTAAAAAATAAAAATTTGCCATAACTTCAGCCCTTCCTATCCTTTCCGACGCAGACGGAAGTACCACTACGGATATAAAACTGTTTTCTATTCTCGAGTTTTAAACATTTATTTGTTATTTATTTGGTCAAGCCCTCGCCCAGTTATAGAAACTGAAGGAGTTAAAATAACTTTGGTTATTCTCAAATGAAGTGAGGAGGAATTGCAGCTAAACCGAATCTTACCTTCCGGACAGAGCAGATGCATAGCATGAATGGCTCGTATTAAGTCAACATTTAAGTAAATCCCAGGGATTCTAGCTGGGACTAATAATTCGGTATAGGCTGTTTACGCGCTAATAGTAACGACCGAAGGCGATTAACAGGAAATATCCAAGTTTTCAAAGAAATGGATCGCAGCTAACGCGCCTAACTTTGTCCAGGACCACAAGGTATCCGTGAATCTGAGGGCAAATTCTCAGAGGAACGGGCGAGTCTGCCAATGTGTTGCGAGGAAAACTAAGATCCATTTGATTGCCTATGAAGAGGAAGTCGTGCGGTCGCGTTTTATGAGTTTTCCTGAGACAGACCCTGCCCTTTAACTTAACCCCCCCTCCTAAACTCACCGGGATCTATTGGAGTAGAATCGATAAGATATACTTGCGCTATTAGAACAGCATTAGTAACAAAAAGGAGAGACAGGCCTTAGAGAGAAACACCTTTTGTTACCATCGGGTGTCGAGGACTTCAAAAACCATTCTTCTGTTGTAACTGGATTTTTTGGACTCTCTTCTTTCATCTAATGTTTATGAAGAATGCGTCGTTTGATTATTCTGGTAAGCCGCCGGTGTTAGGATGAGGTCCTATATAAAAATCCTAAATGCGATTTACTCGCTTATCTCTTCGCTGCTTTGTAAACCATGATCCAACCGTTCTTCGGAGGAGTTCAAAGCAGTAGGTAAGGTTTTCCCCGTTCCCTTTTGGCCTCACAACACCCCCGCGAGGTCGGCTAGGTTGAGATATACTGGAAGCTCCCAGTTCGCAAAGGAATTTCATGGTAAACTGAGGATTTCAGTCTGAAATTTCCTACTCCTGTATTCACCACCAATATATGCGCCTGCATTTAAAATGTGGATTATCCGCTTCGAACCCGTTTGCTAAAAGGCGGTTTTATAAGCCTGGAAAACACAAGTAGGTGTAGGGACCTATTCAAACGGTCTTGATTGCGTTCTGGGCATGGTTGTTAGGATGCGTGTTGCGTGTTTTCAGCACATAGTGTAAATCTACAGCATCCTGTTTACTCAGAAGTAAGGCGCACAGCGTTCAACGGGGTTTACGTTACAGGATATTTTTATACCAGGCATTGTATAATGTGATATGGGAAGCCTTTTTTTCCCTCCTGTTTGTCATTTAGACGGATCTGCCCTTAATAAAATAGAAAAGGCCTGAACAAACAAAAGATATCAAAATTCATTTCACTCGAAAATTGAGTCCATTTCGGCCCAATGAATTAACCCGAAGATAAACTCGGCTTTAAGTAGGTTCTCCACTTTGATAGTATAATAGTGGAAGACGGTGGTCAAAAAACCGAAGGAATAGCCCTACTGCTATTTTCTAACAATACAAGAATGCCAAAAACAAAAACAAAAAAAACCCTCTCTTTATATAATTGGCAAAAGATTTGGAAACTGCGCAATATAAAAAAATAATAATAATCCTTCGCTTTAAAACGATCAAACCAAGGATGGATTAAAGAACACAGAATCTGCTTTTGTTATCAGCGAAGTCTTTGAAGAACATCATTTTGAACTTTTTTCAGCTCTACTTCTGGCAGACCTATTAATAAAAGAACCACCATCATCTTCTAGTTTAGGAGGTATAATTATCTCAGTCAAAATCAAAATAGAAGATGTTTGTGTCATTGATACAAGGGGCTCGAGATCGGATTTACTTACATCGAGGAGTCGAGCGGAGGCTTGGGTTGTGAAAACGTTGGCGAGCAACGAGCATCGCCGTATTCGAACGATCGCTAGAACAGAAACTCTCGGCCTTTGATGGGCATCGTTACGTTGGAACGTTGCTACTTGCAACGTTCTGATTTGCTCCGGGGTTCCCTTAAGAAACGGCTCTCGCGCCCGTTCTTCTGGCAGACTCTGGGAAGCCCTTTTTAAATCTCCTTCCTCTCCGAATTTATTTTTATCTATACGTCTCCAGATCTGAACAGGTACGCAATGGATTCCTGACGTAGAAGTAACGTGAATCTTAGAATAACCACTGGTACTCGTGGCCAATGTTGTTCTCGAACGGGGGATCAGCTAACACAGATCCTCCTCTGTGTAACCAAATGCTTCGGGGGGGGGGGCGCAGTGGTCCCTTGTCCTTCTCAATCCTACAGCTCCGTGATTTGGGACCCAGCCTTTGGGGGTTCAATTCCCCACTGTACCTCCTTGACAGGGGTTGGGCTGGGTGAGCCACAGAGTTCCTTTCCAGTTCTAAGATTATTACTATTATAAACTTGGCATGTCTTTAAATATATACACAGGTAAAAACTACAGTCATATCAACAAACCAGAGATATCATCCCCTCCCGAAACTTGGATTTCTGTGGAGGCCCCTGCTCTGCTCCCGTCCCTCCTTCCAACCCACACCTCCTTTTCCAGAATTTAAATTTTTATCCCTGCATTTCTCTAACGATGCAGGAATAACTGATGAAAGTAAATAACCATCATGCCGTACTAAAGATGTAGCTATTTCAAAGTAAATGCCACTGAGTTGGATGAGGCTTCATTTCAGATAAATACTGTAAGATTGCAGCCTACTGTAAGACCTTCACTGTTAGTTATTTTGTTAACGGTGTACATTTGTATCCACTTTCACCTTAAAATGCTCAAGGAGACATACATGGCTCTCCTTCTTCCTATTTCATATTTGCAGTGATCCTTGAGGTGAGTGAGGCTCAGAGACCAGGACTCTCCCAAATTTATCCAGTGAGCTTCAAGGCTAAGTGAAAACATCAGGCTTCATGTTTTGAGGGGTCTCTAAGTTGCCTTTCCCAAAATGCAAGAATAAAACACATGTTGGGTTAAAGCCATGAGGCCTTTGAAACCCAGCCTTGTTAAGGTCTTGACATGTCTTAATCCATCCTTGGCTGGGAGAAAGTTTAAAACAAGTCCTCCTCAATCCCAGGCTGGTCCTCTTTCCACTACATTGCACCATCTCTCTTTTATGCTTCGCATGTGGTGTCTACACAGAAGTAAATCCTCCAAGTTCAGTAGGTTGGATCGCAGCAAAATGAATCCAGGGTTGCAGCTTTAACCCGGTAGAACCGAAAGCTATAGAGTTGTCCTCTGCAGCCGGATTGTTTCCTTTTCTCTAAAATTTCTCTGGGCTTGGTTCTCATCCCCAATCTTTCCTCTAGCTCCTCATCTGCATGCTGCTGTGAATTGAGTGTCCTGGCTACGTCTTGAGACTTTCCTAAGGCAATTTGCTGCCTGAGAAAGGACAAAATAGTGCAGCACTACCACAGTCAGATGGCAGTATCACCCACCATCAGAGCCTTAGGCATCTGCCTCATGATAGGGCCTGCCCTGCTCTGCCTGCTTCCAAGCTGCTTTTCTCTCTGTGTAAATCAGTGTGAATGAGTGGTCCTGCCTTGCCTTTGGTGGGGTTGACAATGCATCATTCAGACCTTCCAACTGAAAAGACCCACTCACTTTCCAAGGACGCTGTTTGTTGCATTTCTGTATGAGTTCCAGGTCTGGATCTGTCACCTTTTTGGCCAGAAGGCATGTCCAGAACAGGGATGCACACAGGAACAGAGAGGGTGGAAGTAGTTTAATTCATGATTTTGCATGCTATGAAAAGGGAAACTTTCAGAAGATGTAAGAGGGAAAGAAAGGCATCATTTTAATTCTGGAACATTTGGCTGCCAGAAGCTTGGAATCTGAAGAAGGGAGACGACCAATAAACAGACTGACGTGCAGAAATGAGGAGGGGGTCATTAGCTCAGTGTGCTGAGACACACGATGAGCAAATTCCTGCGTCTCTCAAGCTACAGAGATTGGCCACTTTAGATATCATTGTGATGCTCCAGTTGTGGAAAAGAAAGCTAAGAGAGTGTTGTCTAATGTAGGCTACCTATTAAATTAAGGTGGTTACAAGAATTTGGGACTATCATCCTTAATTTATGTGATCAAACACTTATTTTAGGTACACTTGCTCCTAGCAGAAGTTTTGCTTTACAAAATCGTGACAGCTATCAAGCCCAGCAGAGCAAAAGGCAACACTACCAATGATGTGACCCAGTTTGTTTTTTTAAAAAAAAAAGTTTTGCAAAACTTAAGGCCTGTGATAGTCTCAACAGCATTGCCACCTAATTTACCAGAGACAGCAGCTTGTCATTTAGGTATTTGGAGGTGAGGATCTCTGCCCCCAGGCTATGAAAAGACTCACTTACTGATTTCTGCTAATCAAACTGTTAATAAAACACAGAAACAGATTGTTTTTGTTTTCTCTGATCAGTTGGCACCCCCTGGATCTGACCACATATGACTTTGTTTCATTGGCTGGACCTTTTGTCATGGAGCAGGGCTAAGCAATATCAAGATTTTGGGGGAAAGTACCTAAACTATTTGTCATTATTCCCAGTGAAATTTGAATCATGGGCAAGCAATGTATGTGCATGTGTTCCCTGGGCAGGAAAATAGGGAAAGGACAGGCCAAGAGGGAGCTCCTTCCTTCCTATATACTGGGGACATCAAGATATATTATAACTGTATTAGAACTCCAGCCACCCACGGAGACCTCTATTATTTTAATTCGAGTTCATTCTAACTGAACAAAATCTCATTCCAAATGGAATCTTATGAGACATTTCCATTCACTGCTAGGATCCAGGCCTAAAATATTACAGGTTAATTATAAAGAAATGTTTCTGGGCATATTCAGTGTCCCTTTTCTTCAATGAAAACATCAAAGTCACATATTTGGTATTAATTGTAAACATTTGTAATTGTCAACCTCTAACATGTTTTCCCTTCTCCTCTCTGTCCCTGTGTTCTTTCTCCTTTGTTCTGTTCTTTTCCCTGAGAAGCAAGTGCCAATCTCCTATCCTCTGAGAAAGGATGTAGTTGGAGTGTTCTGTTTGTTTTCGAAAAATGGTTGTTGTGGGTTTTTCGGGCTGTTTGGCCATGTCCTGGAACACATGTTCCAGAACATGGCCAAGCAGCCTGAAAAAAATCCACAACAACCATCGGATCATGAAAGCCTCCAAGAACACATGTACAGTATTGGAGAACCCTTTTGGAGATTCAGTTGTGGGAGAGCAGTTAGGCAACCTTGCCTGTTAAAACTGCAGCTAAAACTGTGCTCTCAACCTGGGGTTCAAATCCCAGGTAGCCGGCTCAAGGTTGACTCAGCCTTCCATCCTTCCAAGGTCGGTAAAATGAGTACCCAACTCGCTGGGGGGGGGGCAATGTGTAGCCTGTATAATTAAAATTGTCAACCGCCCGGAGAGTGCTTGTAGCGCTATGGGGCGGTATATAAGTCCACGGTTAGACTGTTGTAGACTTGTAGTTGTTGTTGAGCTCCGGTTCCTATCAGCCTCAGCCAGTGGTCAGAGATACTAGGGGTGATAGACCAGCACTGCCAAGAAGGCTTCAGATTCCATATCCATTCTGTAGTAGATTGGATATGGAAGGCAAAGCGTGGCCAACTTCCAGTGTTGATGGCACACCTGGCCTTCTGGATGGGATGTCCAATGCCTGCCATTTCTACAAATTCCCTGTGCTTGCTAGGGATGGGGATGGGGGGAATTAAGCCCACCCACACCTGGAGAGCCCCACTTTGCCCAGTTCTGTGGCAGCACACAGCCATTAGACTTGCTGATGTTCTGTGGCTCGACAATCTGCCCACTCTGCCCACTTGATGAAAGCAAGTCTTCCAAGAAAGTACCCCGAGATGATCTGGAGTACCTGGGGAGGTTCCTGGTTGGCAAGTAGTTGAGAAGGCAGGAAACAGGGGTCAAATCTTTCCTCTCCTCCTCCTTCTCCATCCCATTGAAGAACGGCAGTGACCATCAGTCTCTCTGGCCCCTAATCTCTTCTGTTTTTATGATGAACTGAGTGTCTTCTCCTCCACCTTGGCAGGCCCACCTTCTGCTGTCAGGCCTGGAAAATGAAGACGGAAGAGGCCCCGTCTTGTCTGCAGCAAGCCACGCCAGTCCTCGGCTATGGTGAGTTTCTGAGATAAGGAAAGCTGTGCAGACAGGAGTGGAGTTGGGTTGGTGAGGAGATGCCTATGGGATGAATGCCTCTCCCTCCCCAGGTCATTGGTCTTCATTGAACACTTGCTTTGCTATCCCCCCATTCCAGTACATGCCAGCTGGCCCTAGTTCTGAACATGTCTTGGAAATTTTGATTTGGTCCTTCCATATGTTATAGCCTGAAACTCCTTGAAACCCTACTCAGCACAGCCAAATACAAGAGATTGAGGGAGTACTAGACCAAACATGGACTGACATGGTGTAGTGGAGAGAGTGAAGAACTGGGTCTCAAGAGGGCTGAGTTCAAATCCCTACATGGTCCTGGAAACTCACTGGGAGGTGGCAATTATAAACTAAGCTGGGAACATCTCCCACATGCCTAGGAAACCCTATTGGGGTCCCTGTAAGTTGGAAAGGAATTGATAGTGCTTTTAAAAGAAAGGACCAAAACATATAGAAGGCCAGAGATTCACCACCCCTGATATACACTCTCACTAAGAGAACAGTGTCAGTCTGGCTTTTACCATCCTAGGGAAGAACCTTCATGTTTAATGTGAATTAAAGCTCATAATAAAAATGCTGCAAAGTTGTTTTCGTAAAGCCACAAAAGAGGATACTAAAATTGAATCTCCTCATCTTGTGTTGCTCTCCTCAATGCCTGCAGGACAGATGCCTGCAGGACAGAGCATTTTCCTCCTCAACTCTTACTAGTGCTACTTTGATGAGGGAAGGCATCGTTTACTTTTTTTCACTGTAACAGATATTAAATCAAGTATCAACAGCCTGGAGGCATGTGGTGCATCATGGCCTCTCCCAATTTGAAGAAACCCTTGTCCAGCAGGCTGAGGCAAAGAGGCAGTCCCGAAAGCAGCAAAATCCAGGAGCTGGACAGGGGACAGATTGTCTTTGTCTTCAGTGTGGAAGGGATTGTCACTCTTGAATTGGCTTCCTCAGCCACACTAGACGCTGTTCCAAGATCTCCATACAGAGCACATTACCATAGTCTCTCGAGACTGAAGGATGCCTACTAAGTATCACAAGGGGGAGACCCAGAAGTCTTATACAATGACTATCTATACACTGCCTGAAAGCCCTTGTCTACCTGTCAGTAAAATGTTTCTAGGCATAAGGCAGATCAACAACAATCAGATCAGTCTGTTTCTAGCTTGTGTTCCTCTTGCATGTACAGGTATTCATCAGTAATGTGTTCTCAGTAAGTCTGTCCCGTTCCATTTCCACAACAGTCTGTTTTTCAATTAGTAAATACACATCATACATAAATACATACTGTATGATCCTTTCTCATCAGAAAGTATTTGGAAATGTATTCTCCCTAAAAATTTGCATTTTATATATATATTTTGTATATTCCTTGAGCTATGGATTCTACCATAAGATGTTGTGGCTATATGTTGTCAAACTGCTTCTGGCTTAGATTGATCCTATGGATTAGTCACAAACACCCCCCACCCCAAAATGTTCTATCAATAACAGCTCTGCTCAGGTCTTGCAAAAACAAAGCTGTGGCTTTATTTAAGGAGCCCATCCTTCTTGTATATGGTCTTCTTTTCCTACTGCCTTCAGCTTTTCCTTACACGGCTGTCTTTTCCAGTGAGTCTTGTCCACTCATGATAAGGCTGTATAGAAGCAGAGAATTGCAGTATCATTTATGATTGTCCCATGCCCAGGCTGATCAAGATTTGAGCTGCAGCTCCCTCTTGAAATTTCAAGGTGAGACACTTGACCCACAAGTTGCCCTTATACCCATGAGAAGCAGAACTTTTGTCTTCTGTAAAAACAGAGGGCTCCCTGTCCTTTCCATCTTGTTATTTTAGCGTGCAAGATATGTTGGACAGTAAACCATCTCTATGGAACTTGAGTCTGTCCCTCTTTATTCTGAAGTAAGACTTACTGTGTTCAATAAGGGCTTACTCCCAGCTAAGTGTGCATAGGGAGGGAAGCCCACAATATCAGCCTGCTTTGCCTCTGCAAGCAATGGAGAAGTCTGGGAAAAAATATATCCCTCTTTCAGTAACTTTCAAATAAGCAAACTAAAAACCAGTAATGCACGGAGGGGAACAGAGGGGCTGTTGAAATGGCATCTCGGGGACAATTATGCCAGAGAGTTTCCACTAACACAGCAACGCTTGGCATTTTGCAGTTAAATAAAGTGGAATAATGCTGCACAAGAGAGGACTGTTTTCACAGGGCCCAAATCATTTCCATTTCTTTATGACTTTTAATTTCAATATAATTATCAGCACATGCAGTAGGCTGGAGGTGTGGGTCGAAAGAGACACCACAATTAAAATGAAAGGCCTTGCTCGCAAATATCATGGCTTTCACTTGGCCTGATTTTCATTCTCTTTCTCTGTCTGGGGTAGCGGGGGCAGGATCTGCCACTCAGAGGAGAAATAGACAGCAGAAGTCTGGATTTAACCAAGACATCAAGCTTGTGTGTGTGTGTGTGTGTGTGTGTGTGTGTGAGAGAGAGAGAGAGAGAGATTCACAATCAAGAAATGTGTGTGTGTGTGTGTGTGTGTGTGTGAAAGAGAGAGAGAGAAAGATTCACAATCAAGAAATTAGAGAAAAGGGAACGTTGTCACCTTAAGGAGCACGGAGCTGAAAGAAGGTGGGGACTAATATTGTTTCTCAGATAGAAATGTACTCAATTTGATTTATAAGAATCAGGTTGCTATTACACTGTGATCCACATTTGTGCACTCCCACACAAACACACAAAAAGAATTTGAGCTACATATTGGGACTTGGAATTTTCTTCCCTTGATCCAAACATTGTCATGGCAAATATCAAAATCTTTCATTCTTTTGATAACCCTGCCACACATCTATAGAAACATGACTGACGTGTTCTCTTAATATGCCAATCCTTAAGCATTCTTCATCATCTAACCAAACCAAATGACACCCAAGCGTACCTGTAGCACAAAATATCCCTACTACAAGGTCCAATGATACGGCAAAGGAGTGTGCGTTTCCTTCTCTTCCCATGTGATCCCGCCAAGCATGCCGATTTTCCAAGTTATGGACCTCAAAAATAAGACATACAATCAGACATACAATCAGACATACAATACAGTCATGCAAACACATATGGTGCTTTCCAAGCAACCAATTACAGAAGAAAGCCAGCTAATCTGCAAAATACAGATTGAGGCAAACTCCTGCCTTAATAAACTGCCGGAGTATTCCTCTTAAGAGAACTTTTGCTTCTAATGATATCTTAAGTGCACTTTGCCCCTAAACATTTTATGTAACTCCCAGACTACAAAACCTATGATGCCATGTCAGTTTGACACACATGCATGTAAACGTGCAGGAGCTTTACATGAAGCAAAGAGTTGATCATCGAAGGAGCAGGCAGGTCATTTGGGGTTAAAAATTATGTGAAATTAAAACAAGCAGAGGAACTTTCTCTGAGCAATTCCTTTCCAGAGCCTCAGACAAACAATTCAGAGCAAACTTCTTCCTGCAGAGTGTCACACATTGCTAATATCTATTGCAGGCTATTCACAGGCACTGTAGAGAATGTCATAGCCGCGGTGCCATAATATTGTTTGTGCACAGTTGAACAGGGAGGCAACCTTAGCATTTCAAACTGGCTGAATGCCACTTGGTCAATTGCTGTTTCAGAGAAATTAACGCTCAAACTGAGGGTATTTAGAGGCCTAGACAAATTTATCAGGACCTTGCTGCGTTTGGGGGGGGGGGTTAGCCCCTTTTACAGCTGTTGCGTTTAGTCTAGGAATGTATAGCTACACTGGTCAATGTAAGGTATGGTATTTTCTGTCTAGCCCAAAATGGATTCATGTATTTATGATTTATTTTAATGTTTTGATTTGTTTTATTTTAAACTAATATTTTCCTCTTGTGTCAGGCTAGTCTCATTTTGGCTGCTTAAGAATTCATACTTGGAGAATGAGTCTGCTATTAGTAAATAGGATGCTAATAATGTGTAAAGCTTGGAACAAAAGTCCTAGGGGGGAGCTAAGGTGCAAATATAGACTACAATTCTATATACGTTTCACTTCTGAGTGGAAATATATAGGATTGTTTTGTTGTATTAAAGGGAAGGGGGATGTTTCCCCCTCATATCTGAAATTTTTTTTCATTAAACTCTGTTTTTATATAGTTTATTTTCCCACTTAACATGAAAAAGCAAAACAAACTGTATCATACATTTAAATGACACATCATCATTTAGTACCTAAGAATACTACTGAAATTCTACCAAAATGTTCCAAGCACATATTTGTCATTCCAGAAATGCTATCAAATTATATTTTTCTTTAAAAATTAATACTTGTTCAGACTGACTGAATTTCACCACAAATGTTAAACTCCTCGTTTTAAATTTCAAGAAGAAAAACTCAAATCTGTCATATCCATGAACCTGGATTTTGACCTTAAATACAGATGTACCACTAAAATGCAGGTTGCATTAGACTGCATGTGTCTTCAGTTATCTACAATCATTAATAATGAACAGAATGTGATAGTATTTGAGATTGTGTGTCTTGCCCATTTCTGTTCTAAATGTTTTTCACTAAACTTGATAATTTTCACTGGTCTACATTTAATAATTAGCTAAGCTTAAAACTCATGATGTTTCATGAGTGGAGAGATTTAATCAAAGGCATGTTAAAAAACCCTCAGCAATAGAATTTTCTGGAACAGGCTAGCCCCCCTGTGCCTCCTTGACAGGGGATGGACTCCATGATCCATAGGGCGCTTTCCAGCAGTATAGTTCTAAGATGGTGAAAGCAGTAGTTAGCTACCTGAGGCAAGGTTCTGTGCATCCATCCATCCATCAGCCGGCCGGCCGGCCAGTGGTCCGTCTGTCCGTCTGTCCGTTCCTTCCTTCCTTCCTCTGTCCGTTCCTTCCTTCCTTCCTTCCTTGCTTCCTTCCTTCCTTCCTTCCTTCCTTCCTTCCTTCCTTCCTTCCTTCC